TATTCAACTCATCAATTATGGACATTAAAAACAATGTGGGATGACCCCTATTTATAGATCCTAATTATCACTAATTCTAATCTTACTAGGGAACTTATTAAAGCAATAAAATATTAAATCCTAACATCTTCTAAAGCAACAAGGAAAGTAAATATCTAGTAGAATCCTAATAAACTAGAAGGTCTTGATCTTGCTTGGCTTGCACTCCAAATCCTTCTTTTGCACTCCAAGTCTTCTTGCTTGATCCTCAAGTCGCCGCCCAAGACCCCTAGCCGCCCTAGCTCGCCACCTGCCAGTCCTCATCGAACGAGGTATCCCTCACGCGCACGCCTGCTACGCGTCCCATGCGTTGCGCCATTCCTATTCCTTGTAGGACCATGCTTCGAGCCTATATCCACTTTGCCTATTCCTACTAGGAATATGTTCCCGGCTATGTTGCCTGATCTTCTGAGGATTACTCCCGTCACTGATCTTTAACGCGCGTTTCAACACTCAGCTGTTTTTCCTATTCTTGCGGGGATTAGTATTCGCGCCTTGCCTATTCCTACGAGGATTAGGCTTGCAGCCTTGTTCTTGCATTGTGCCTCGCGCATGTCGCCTAGCGCCCCTGTGCGCCTATCGCACACCCATGCGCGCCATCGCCCAACGCTGCCCCACCCAGCGCCCCTCGCTCGCTCGTCCTACTGCAACAATCCCTCGCGCGCATCAACCACCCAACATCCACCCCCTGCGCGCCAGTTCGCCTAATCTCCAAGCGCCATGCGCGTCTACGCCAATGCGTGTGTGCGCGCCCTTGCTTAATGCACCTTTCCGTGCGTGTGAGAGTTGCTAACCTTGAGACCATCTTCTTGCGTGCCCTCGCGTACCTCCATGCGCGACCCTCATTAGCCGCTTCGTGCGCTCGTGCATCACGTCCATGCACTCCTCGATCCAAGCCAGTCCACATACGCGCTCGTACTCGTCTTTTTGGCCATGCATGCATCATTTTGGCCCTATTTTCAGCCTCCTCAGGTCCTCTCGGCTCTTGGACCCTTTCGTCGTCGGGGCTCGAAACCCACTTCTGTATCATGCGCGCGCTCAGGCACTCGCGTAGGGGCGGGCGCAGGTAGGCGCAGCACAGCAGAACAGCGCGCGCAGGCACGCGCTGATGCGGAAGTGGCTAGGCAACTCAAGAACGCCGCGAGTTGGGCATATCACGCACGTAAGAGGCTTTCACGAGGGACGACAGAAATACGCGCACTTGAGTGTAGTGCGCGTGAGGGGTGCGTAAATGGCCTGATAACGGGCGAGGACGAACGCGTGCAAATATCAGGCGTGATGGGCAAGCAGGAGCGGGCCAGCAGGTATGCGCGGTTGGCGTGCGCGAGTGGGACGCGAGCAACTGGCGACGACGCGCGCATAATGAGCGCAGCTGAGCAGCGCGCGAGAAACACGAACGAAGCACAGGTACACGCGGGGTACGGA